TAAATATCAAACCTGGAGGTTGTGTGTTCGATTCTCACACAAACAAATTTTTTTTTCTTTTTCTTTTTTTAAGGAGGTTTTGTTGATGGTGGATAATGATTCCCACACGAACCAATTTATTTTTTTTCTTTTTTTTTTTTTTTTTTAATGCAGTTTAGTTGATAGTGGATAATGAATAGCAAACTTGGAGGTTGTGTGTTCGATCCCCACATGAACCATTTTTTTTAATTAATTTTTTTTTTTAAGACCAGGGCTTCCAGACCTCTGACAATGGCGGAAGCCTATACCAAAGCTTCGCATTTTTCCACGCATAATGCCTAGACAGGATTGTTCATTCATATTGAAATTAGTGTTTTGATGGTGATTTTTTTTTTCATCCAATTGCAATGTATATATTTTATATGAGAAGAATCTATGAATATTCAACTTTCCGTTTACTGGGGGGAATGAACAACAAGATATTTGATTGGTGAACAGCCGAAATGGCAATTTAAACAAATTCACTAAAGATAGGTCAAAATGCAGCCTCTACGCGCGGTGGGCGGTCAGCATAGCACCAATAGAAAAGTGAAAAATGACGGTGATCTTTTTCAAGCAATACAATTGAAACAAATACTAAATTGCCTTCCAAATGCAAAAGGGAATACAAAAATTTGATTTGTCAATACGTATGGCCGATAATTTTACATTATTTTGTCAGGTCGAGGTGAGTTCACTTTATTTGACAATAGACTGATATTATTTCCACTCACTATAGTGTAGTCGCAATATTAATAATACAAAAGTGAAAATTAAAAAGGGGAAAAAAGCAAGTATTTTTTGGAGCTTTTTTGACTTGTCAATACGTATGGCCGATAATTTTACATTATTTTGTCAGGTCGAGGTGAGTTCACTTTATTTGACAATAGACTGATATTATTTCCACTCACTATAGTGTAGTCGCAATATTAATAATACAAAAGTGAAAATTAAAAAGGGGAAAAAAGCAAGTATTTTTTGGAGCTTTTTTGACTTGTCAATACGTATGGCCGATAATTTTACATTATTTTGTCAGGTCGAGGTGAGTTCACTTTATTTGACAATAGACTGATATTATTTCCACTCACTATAGTGTAGTCGCAATATTAATAATACAAAAGTGAAAATTAAAAAGGGGAAAAAAGCAAGTATTTTTTGGAGCTTTTTTGACTAGTGGGATTTGAGCATACTCAAATATATCAATATGTTCCAAATTATTTGTTCGTTGATAGCGACTAAAAAACTTGTTTTTTGAAAAATTGTCAGTTACTTCCTTTTGTCATGGTGGGGCAGTATAGATGGTGCATCCTCGTCTTCACCTACTAAGCTGTGCATGGCTTTTCCAAGCTCTTTTGACATTGTTCTTGTTTTGTTTGGGTTTCTGCTTCCTTCATCCAAGCAGAGTCAAATCTAGTAGCTATGTTCCTAAAGAGTATGATAGAGCCAGATTTTTGTCGTCTGCCTGGTGCACCTGATGTTCCGCCCATCATATAGAAGCGAGGATCATGTATTTGTTTTGAAAAGTCATTTTTAATGATATTTGCAATTTGCATGCACCTATCATTAATATTAAAGTTTCTACCAATCTACCACCGTGGATAAATCAAGACTATTTGTCATTACGCCGAGAAGCGAAGTACCTGAGACAAAAAGCTAAGCGTAATAATGAACTTGCTGATTGGGACGCTTATAAAATGCACAGAAATATGTTGAACAACATGAGACGATATCTTAAAAAAGACTATTTTCTTTCCACTATTGATAATAATAAATTTAACAGTAGGAAGTTGTGGAAAACTTTAAAGGAAATTGTTCCTAATAAGAAGAAAAGTAGTAGTACTACGATTAATTTTAAAAACGACATGAATAATGTAAATAATACTGCTCAAATATTTAATGATTATTTTTGTACAATTGGTGAAACCATTTTAAATGGTTAAATGTCTATTAATATTAATAATAATTATGATAATAATAATAATAATATTAATAGTAATACTAGTAGTGGTAATGACAATGATAGTGATAATAATGATAATAATATTGATGTTAATAATTGTTTTAATTTTAAACAAGTTTTAACCGATGATGTTTATAAAGCTCTTTCTTGTTTATCTATTAACAAAGCATGTGGTTTAGACGGTCTTAGTCCAAAACTTATCAGATCAGCTGCACCATGCATTTCTCAGCATATCACTTTTATTTTTAATCTTTCTCTTTCCCTGGGGGAGGTCCCCACCGAATGGAAGCTGGCTAAAGTTATTACTATTCATAAAGGGGGTCCAGAGATGTCTGTAACAATTACCGACCTATCTTACCTACTCTCATGAAAGTCTTTGAACGTACTGTATTTTACATGATCATCTTTATTCTTATCTTCTTACTAATAATCTCCTTTCTCCTCAACAATCTGGTTTCTGTCCTTTACACAGCATTTTAGGCAATACTGACAATGGGATGGTCACTGGAGCCATCTTTTTAGATCCTAAAAAAGCTTTCGATACTGTTCATCACTTGACTCTTCTTAAAAAATTAACTTAATTGGGCTTAATAACGTTGAACTTAAATGGTTTAAATCTCACCTCAGACAGGAAACAAATTACGTCAATTAACAATATGAACTCTTCGCCAGCTTACATTCGGTGTGGAGTTCCTCAGGGATTGATTCTTGGACCTATTTTTATCAACGATCTTCCCACTGTTATTGAAAACTGTACCACTTTTATGTATGCAGATGATACTGCTATTTTTTTTGCTTCTAAATCTTTTAATGAAGTTCAAACCACTTTACAAAACGATATTCAAAATGTCTCTGATTGGCTTCTTGAAAATAAACTTTCTTTAAATATTGACAAAACTAAATCTCTTCTTTTTGGTTCTCGTATGAAATTACGTAGTGCAGCTGATCTTGATTTAAGAATTGGGGGCGCTGCCATTCAAGCTGTTAATAATTATAAATACTTAGGTGTTTGGTTTGATCGTTCACTTACCTGGAATTGCCAAGTTGACAAACTCTGTACAAAGGTTAGCAGCAGAATTGCCCTTCTCTGAAGATTGAGTCATTATCTGGATACTAGTTCTTTAAATTTACTTTATAAGTCTTTGATTTTACCTTTGTTTGATTATTGTGACTTAGTTTGGGGAAACTGGGAAGGGTTTGGAAGACAAGCTCCAAAAGCTGCAAAATAGGGCTGCTTGAGTGATTCTTAAAGCTGATAATCGCTCAAATCTAATTAGAATACATTTATCTCTCGGTTGGTCCTTTCTATGTGGAAGAAGAAATAATCATTTACTTACTTCAGTTAAAAAATGCTTGAGTGGCAGAGTCCCTACTCACCTTAATTGATTTACTCTGTTCAGAGATGTACCTAGCTATTCTACCAGATCCAGTTCTACTGGTAATTTACTTTTACCAAAAGCTAGAACTGAATCCGGTAGAAGAAGATTTTCTTTCAGGGGTTCTGTTGTTTGGAACTCTGAAATCATCGTCATCATCACTATCATTATTTTCGGCAATCTTTAGTTGAGACTCGTAGACAATCAACGATACATGAAGAGACCTACTAGAGATCTACTACCCCAATTGGTCATTTTCTAATAGAATTTGTCTCTTGTAAATGCTAAATGCCCCCATAGATATCAACCAATTAGCAAGCCTATTTTGACATCCCAAGATAATAAGTTTAAAGTTGACTTCAATGTTACAAAAATTTGACATAATAGTATTGATTTTATTCCAAAAAGTATTAACTTCAATACAGGAAAAAAAAGATGTTCATCATCTTCAGGAATTTTGCAAACTGTACAAATATCAGTTGCTTTTATTTTCCATTTAAATAGCCTCTGGTTTGTTGGGATAATTCTATGTAAAAGTTTTAGATTAAATTGAGTAATTTTGAATTCATCAATTAAATGAATTTTGTTCTCCCATGCAATTGACCAGTTATCAACATTGAAATCATCTTCCCATCTGCTCTGAAAGGATGGAATAGCAACATTTGATACAAAGTGATTATAAACAATTTTTGTTTTGACAGTCTTAAGCACATTATTTTGCTGTAATGTATCGAGGGCAAGTGCATTTCCTTTATATGAATTAATACAATTTTTCCAGTGTTTTGGAATAGCATTTAAGATGTTCAAATATTCCAATACTTTGATTTATAATATTAAATTCTGACAATGAGAGTAAAACGTCTTTGTAAAATTGTGGTATCTTTATCTTTGTATTTTTATCTAACATATCAACACTTGTTATTCTACAGAGTAAGTTATCAGGACCAATCTTTGAAAGATACCATCTTGGAATAACTTTCCAAATACAAGTCGTTTGTACCATGCGTATTTTAAGGCTTTTACTTGTGATATGAAGTCTGGTAGTTTAATACCTCCTTGTGAATAGTCACCAATCAAAGATACTCTTTTGATCTTTGCTTTTTTACCATTCCAAATAAAATCTGCTAATAGTTTATCAATCTGTCTAACAATATAATCAGGAGTTTCAATCACACTTGCATTATAGATTATTTTTGAAAGTCCTAGCGTTTTTATGATTGTTACTTTTCCAAATACTGTAAGGTTTCTTTTTTTCCATTGCTTTAACACTTTTTCTACGTTAACCATCCTTTGCGCCCAATTGCGTACTGCACAATTTGCTTTGTCATGACCAATGTAAATTCCAAGTGAATTCAATTCTTTTACCCAATCTAAATTAAAAGGTTCATCAACATTATTTCTCAAAGATCCCAACCACATTGCCTTAGTCTTATTAATATTATATCTTATATAATTACAGTATGCTTACATGATCAATTTCAGTGTCTACCAAGGGCTTCCTTATGACTCATCTTGACACTTCTTTGGCCATTTCTTTTCTCCCATCTTTTAGAAATTTTGCATAATCATGGTCCGGTGCTCTAATGGTGTTTCTCCATCTTTGATCTCCTTCGCAGTTAGTGTAGCTAGCACCTGTCAAACTGATCATTGAGTGTTCCCCCCCCCCACCCCAACCTAGATATGCCACTGCTAAGATGCACACTGGTAGACACTTAACTTCCATGTCCTGGGGCCTGGGTATTATTGTACCTACAGATAACCAGGATAGTGCCATAGGAAGCTAAAAAATGACTTTCTATGCAACCTGCCTTATCTTGTGGGTCGTATGTCTAATGCAGTAATTTTTGGTATGTGTTCTGGTTTTCAACTGACGGGGAGTTTGAACCCCGGGACTAGCCGTATGACGTCACTACATGACTAATCCCGGGTTGGCTGCACTTACAATCCTTGGTGACAGACTGCTATGTAAAGGTGACATAATGGGCAACCAATCACCAGTTCAGCAGCACTTCAAACACTGAACAATGTCAATGGAAATATTTTTGTCCCGATTGACCTCTTGCTCCCGCTAGATATATCAATGTCGCTTATTATAATTGTGCTATCGGCAAAATTTTATTTTTATTTTGGTTGTTGCGTTAAAATCAACTGATTTTGAAATAATCAGCCCTATTTATAAAGCATGAGTACTTTATTTTTGTATCCCCCAGAAATGACATAAGCAATCAGTTATTTGTTCATGATGATACAAATGATGATGTTGGTAAAAGATCCATTTATGCAGGCCAAATAAAAAAATATCTTTTAATGAGCTAACAACGGACTCCAGAACAGCAATAGTCTAAACCTGACCACCTCCTGAATTCATGTACCAGATTGTCCAGTCCAGCTTATTGTCTGCTTTCATATGTATAACATTCATTTTGTTGTTTATTTCAGAAGTTTGGCCTGCAGGTTGATTATAGATGTGATTATTGGACTTGTGTTTAAAGGGAGTTGATGGCATTGGCACCTGACCACATCTATAAATGAACCTGCAATCTTGAGAATATCTGATATCTGAGAGCAATAAAGGTTTTTCCATAACCTGATGACATGGTGAGATTATTTAAAAAATAACTTTGACCAACTTTAACTGCTGGTACAAAGGAAATAATAACAGTGCTCTTTCATTTTTCGCTGGTGATCGTGTATAATTTAGTCAAAAACCTTGCTGTAATTACGATGGAAAATCAACAGAAAAACCACAAAAAAAAAAATCATTATTAATGTACAGTATTTATACATACCTTTATTAATTTCAGACAAGCTTCAGTTCTATATGAAGTGCAGACTGTTGTATGAGGAGGTGTGATGGTGTGAATTCTACCATGACGATGCAACTCGATCACAAACTATTACCTCAACAATAGCACCAAGTTACTTGGGGGATGTGGAATGAATATTGTGATGACCAGCAAAGTTACCAATCACTAATGTCAGCAGGGAGCAGGATTATATAACTCGCAATGATAGGGAATGATTATGTAGCTTGTTGTGTTAGACTGTAAAATTACAGCAGTATTGCACTTAATCATTTAATTAGTTACATATTTTGTAATATAAAAATATTTCAGTTTAATTTATATTGTGTAATTTTTTTTATGTTTCAGTTATTCATTATATTGAGTTTATTCATTATATTGAGAATTATATATATAATTATATTATCAAAATTTCAAAATATGTGGCACACTAGCCAAGCCTGTCACTCCTTAGTTATTAATTCAGGGTTAAGAACGAAAGATATATATACGGTAAAATAAATGTATTTGAGAAACTAGCCCAGATTAGCCAAATAGCCAAATCCTAATGAAATCTGAATTTTGCTAAATATTTTCATTCCAAAGTAGGCAAAAAGCTAATGGAACTGAAGCTCTCATTGCTTATATTTTTTCTTTTGGGCTAATCAAATTTCTATTTGGCTAATTATTTTCATATACCAAATTAGCCAAATTGCTAAATATTCAATCATTAGAAGTTAGGCTTTATAGGGAAAAAATCTGTATCTCATTAACCGTTAACAAGTTTTTCATCAAACACCCTTTTTGTGTCTTAGAAAAATAACTTATCAAAAAAAAAAAAAGTTAAAAGTATTTTGCAAGGCAAGGAATACTGTAGTTGGGCTATGGGATGAGGGGCATGTTTCATTTCAGAATGGTTAAAGCAATGTCATAGGAAAGAACATTTGAAACATTGCGTACATATAAGTAACTTTATTTAATAAAAACGACAAATGTTTCAAATAACAGACAGCAAAAAGCAGCCCTATGTATTCTGCACATTTTTTAAGGTTACACAAAATAACTCATTCTTTGGTAATTGTAAAATGAAGATATGATGTTACTATTGTTTGCTAGTTGTCATTACCAAGTGATCAAATTAATATTCTGATACCATTTACTGTCATAATGCTAGTCATACATTTACAAACTTGGAATTAAAGGAAAGAAATGAATGACAAATCTAAGAAACAATGGTACGGGAGTAAATAAATTTTTCACATATTAACTGGTTTAATTTTAATTCTTGATGACTATTATTAGTTTATCTAATTCATATAAAGTATTCTTGCAACACATATTTTGAACAAGACATTACAATAGGAGTGGGAGGTGGGGTTTCTAAGAGAAACCAATTTTCTATACTACAAAAAACAAAAATACAGTATTATCGTAAATATTGTCATACTCACCTACGAATTTTACCCAACTAAGTCCTGTTTTGGTAGTTTCCAATAAAAATCACTTATAATTATCATTATAAAACTGCATAATTCATTCGACCTAAAGGACAGCACATACAATAGCACATATATTTCATTTTAAGTGAATATTGTCCACACCCATAGAAATTGGGCTAACAGAAACTGCTAGTGGTGTGGAAAAATGCCATTAAACCAATTTTAACTGGAATCAGGAAGGACTCAAAACGTCCTCGATGAGAGGATAAGTAGGCGTGGCCTACTTATGTGATTAAAATTGTCTAATATTACTATTTTTATATTACTGATTCCCATATTTGCATATTTTAGTTAATTAACATAATAAAAAATAAATTTTATTCAAAATTATCATTATTAGTGTGCCGCATGTTCGCTAAACAATGTATAAAGAAAGTCTCGCCTAATGACGCAATTACAGACTGAAATGAAAGAGCAGAATGAACATCAGGCACTATAATTTTTCAACATTCTTAAGTTCTGAGGAATGTTTTTACATGGCTCCCAGGTACACTCTGCAAATCCAGCCCATTTCACAAGATATTGTATTTTTCCTTTATACTTCCTTTTCTTTAGAACTTCTTCCACCTCATATTCACCTATAATGCAATCAAATAGCAATTACTCTTCAACCTTAGTGATGAATAGTATTACATCTTTATGTTGGCTTTTGTTTTTTAAAGATAAATTAATTTTAAAAATGTCAAATTACTAACAAAGTACATACCGTATAAATTCAAATAATTTTTGAGAAAGGTTTTTGAGGGGGAATTTACCTGAGGGAGGCATTTTTTTAAATTTTTTGGTGCAAAATTGATAAATGGTAGAAGAGAACTCATCGCAACCCTGGATAACGCTAATTCTACCAGCAGCACACACAACACAATATCAAGTTAAGGCCATCACCATTTTCATCATACCATCTGATGGACCTGGCAGCATACAATGACTGCTAGAAACTGTGTCCAGTTCTTGTTGAAACAAAGTATCTAGCAAGTGTATGGACACGACAAGAAGAACTCGAATAAACACATACTGTAATTACCGTCAAAATGTGTGATGTGAATGCTTATTGATCCTAACCAGGTTAGAAACCACACCTCTGGGAGGGCCAAGGTTCCTATGCGGGCATTCACAAAATATTGCACTACTGTATTTGCGATGATGTAAACATGGCAACCAACCAGTGAGAACTCAAGTGTTAAAATTATTATTATTATTATCATCATCATCATTATATTATTATATTATTAATCCTGGCATCAGGTTTTTTTGTTCTGCTTGTTTAGTGCCAATGATAAAAAGGTGTAGTAGCTATGGCGACTGTAGGATATATTTTCTGGGGGCCGAGCTGTCCGATAGGGGGACTAGAGCTCGTGGGCTGGAGGATGTGGAAGATTTTGTGAAGGTGTTCACGCCTTCCAAATGAGATTTTTTTAAGAATAGGAACCTCTGGATGGCCAGAAATGACACTCACAGACTGTGACAGATGTGTTGGCTTGGCATGGGCCTATTATATTTTTTTAGTCCAACTGCCCGACAAGCTCTGTTTGATGTGGGGGCGACGCATGTGGCTGTCTCTTATACACATCTAGATGTGTATTCACTATTACTGTACACACAGTCTAGCTTCAGATAAAAGCTGCAACTGGATTATCCTGTTAAGTATCAAGTTTGTTTTTATCAAACTACAACACAATTCTATGCTTTGTCTGTAGAATCTTATCCATAGAAAAGAAAGACCTAAAACCGAAAGAAAGAAAATGAAAGAAAAGAAAAGGAAATATAAGAAAGAAAAAGGAATGAAAAGAATGAATTATAAGAAAAGTTATTATTATTTATAAGAAAGGTTATTCAAAGCAACCTAAGAAATGGTAAAAAGAAAGAAAAGGACAAGAAAGAATCAGGATACGAAAGAAATGTTTACATAAGAAAAAGAAGAAAGATAAGGAAATATTACAAAGGTAATTTTAAGCTAAAGAAACAATGCATAAGGAGGCATTAGAAAGAAAGGGGAAAGGAAAGAAAAGGTAATTAAAAGGATAAGGAAGATAAAAGAAAGAAAAGGTAGGTTAATAGGAATCATGGAAAGTTAAGGAAGCATAGAATGAAAGTAAAAGAGAAAATAAGTAAGTAATTAGCCAGTTTAGTTTTTTTTTTAAGGCTGGAATTGACCTACCTTGCTGGATGATAGGCAATGTGACAATGTTATACGATCGTCTTGCTCTTTAATATAGATTTAAAAGTGGTTTTTGTTGTATTTTCTACTTTTTAGGCATAAACGACATTAGTGGGTAAAACTTTTCCTACTGACCTACCTATTTTTTGGTTTTTCCCAAAATGTGGCCAACACAAGAATTTATTTTTTTTGGCCTTAAATTTGTTTAATACCATTAGGGGGGAGTGGGTGTTTATTCTTGGGGAAAATAAACGCCTTAGGGCATTTATTCCAAATGAGGCTCTAAAGAGGTGTTTATTTGAATAATATGGTATGATGATGAATGCAATGAGAATGTTAGTATGCGCTACATCACTGACAGATTACCTGGAAATTGTATGTCAACACCAACACTTCCACACAGTTGTTCTAAATCGGTCACTGAAAATAAAATGTTGGTCAATTCATTTAATACAGCATTGTTATAACTAATACAGGCCCGTAGCCAGGGGGGGGTTTTATGGTTCGGACGAACCCCCCTTTTCTAGCGAACCCCCTCGAATTTTTGAATGAGTCCCACCTGTTTTTAAATTGTAGCCTGCGTTACAAGCCTACATTCATAGAATATCTCAGCTTCAGAAGTTCGGAGATTTAAATTAGAACGCAATTCCAGCAAACCATGACATTACGATGGCACACATAAGGATGGCAAACATCGATAAAAACCCGGCTGCCGTCTCAACTTTCACTGGCCTTTGGCTGAATGTTTGTAAGAAATGTACCAACCGGTAACGAAACCGGTCGCTGTCTACCTAGAGTAAATGGTGCCACCAAACGAAGCTAAAGTTTTGCGACTTAATCACCTAAATGTGGATTGTGTGGTTAGTAAATTCCATAGCCATACTGTCCATAGCGCACACTAAACTCACACACTAAACTATGTGCTGATGGAGCATTTTGGGGAAATGGACTCTCCTTTTTTTCATCCCAAACAAAATATTATTAATAAATCAACATAGTCCATCTCAGTCATCATAGCCAGTCACAAAATTAGGCTAGGAAATTTGTTTTCAACAGCAGACACACTACAGAACGGAGTGCGTCAAAACGAGTGTTTGATAATGTTTAGTGATTTTATAATCAATTAACCTAACCTAGATGTTGACTAGCTAGGTTTGCTCCTCATTCATTTAGATACAGAATGACGACAACAAACTAGTGTAGGCCTAAGTACAGTAGAACGTACTACAGGTAGGCGTTTGTTGTAAAAGTTGAAGTGCATGTACGCCATAGGCCTATATTTAAAAAAATACATTTTGTTAATTATTATTGGTTGGCCTGGGATGGACCTAGGCAGGCAGGCCAGCTTTGCCGTCAGAAATCCTGGGATTCGACGATGAGGTCCGTGCACGTTTACAAACGCCATTGATTAGAAGGAAAATAGACGCGCTGAATTTCGCTTTTTTTTTTCTTTTTTTTTTTTTAATGAAAGATAGAATTTATCGAACATTTATCTACATAAAAACAAGAATAATATTGTAGAAATTGTATTTCTAAAGATGCATATAAGTCACATTTCATTTTGTAGACAATAAATATTCAGTAAGATATACTAAAAACGATTATTAATTCTGAAATGTGCATCTCAGCTATTATTAATCAGTAGGCTATGTATTATGTTATAAAGTCTTAAAATAATAATTTCAAATTATGCTATATATAGAAAAAGCACAATTCGTCGGGGAGAAAAAAAATTATATGTATTTTTTACATATTAGTAGACTCTAATATCGATTAAATAAGCCTTTGAAACCCCTGAATTGTCAAAATTTTCGGTTGCTTCACCCCCAGGACCACTTTTGGAACCTATTAATTGAAGCTCGACCACGTCCACTTTGCTTTCGTTGGGGAAATCTGGCCTTACCCAGCCCGGTACGACGGCTTTGTCAGCCCGGTAAAAACCGTCAGGGGCATTACAATTTGTTTTGTGTTCCAAAAATCAGGCCCGAATTCACCAAACGGTGCGAAATCGTTGAAAATCAGCCCCCTTTTTGAGCAGTTTTTTAAACGTCTTCGTTAATATTAGGCCGATTTTTTTGGCTGTTTTTGCAACGTGTTCCTTATTTATTCAGCTATAATGTCATGTTATTTTTAATTTTAAAATTAATGAGGTGTATTATTATGTTAAATGTTAACCTAGTGAGAACAACATAAAAGAATATACAGTACTCCAATGAAAGTAATAAAATAGTGACGGGATTTAGCATTTCAACATTATATTGAGATGATCCAATAAAGCAGGCCCGTAGGCAAGGGGGGTCGCATTATATATTTGCCAGCTTATTTAACCGTTGATTTTTAATAATGTGGTATTAAATTTGTTAGAAATCGATCGTCTCCGGAGATTGCAGATAGATATATATAATATGAAGAATGTTATCATAGGCCTGCAGATTTACAGGACATAATAACGTTACTTTTTCAGGTCCCCAAAACACCCAAATTAATGAAAATTTAAATGAAATATTCATGAATTATGTGTTTAAGAAATTTATTATATAAGACCCCCAAAATGCTACTTTGTCCCTTTTCTCACAAACCCCCTCTAGACCTCTGTCCCCTGGACCACCAAATTTCAAAAAGTCCACTTTTTAAAACCTATTATTTCACTAAAAACGTTCTTAATTATCATAAAATGCTATAGTATGCATTACAATTTTTGGCCGTTCTTCTACCCGTTGATTTTTAATGTGCTACGAAATCTGTTGGAAATTATCAGCTCCAGCGATTGTAGGCCTACAGATGTAAAGGACATGAAAAATTATAATTTTACAGAGGTGTGAGCCCCCTAAAATTATAAAAGAAAGGGGGTAAAAAGAAAAATCATAATTAAAATTTGTCTAAGAGTGCCATTTCCGGCCACTTTGAGGTGCCATAATCATAAATTTTCTTACCTCAGCCCCAACCATGGTGGGGCTGAGATGGTATTGACCATCTGTCTGTGAAGTTTCTCCCTTCACCTCAACCTCTATTTCTCATGCTAGGTCCCTAGACATTACTCAAATGAATGAAAATTTAAATAGGATATTACAAATTATGGATTTTAGAAATCCATTAAAAAAGGCCCTCAAAATGCTAATTTGTCAGAGCTTCCAGAAGTTTCACCCCACCCTCGCAGGGATCCCTAGGCAGTGGCCCATCTTTAGGTCCACTTCGGGTTGTAAAACGCACGTCCCCATCGAAAATCCTGCCTACGGGCCTGTAGGGATTTGAAATATTGCATCCAAGCATGATAATATAGTGATATGGCACTATATAAATTTAGCGTAAGCTAAACAATTTATTTAATTGTATTTACTACTGGCGGAGGGATATGGGCAATGTGAGTATGAGTTCCCGGATTGACGTTGCCTTCCCACTCGGGGAAAACATTAGACGTGCAGAGAGCGATAGACGTAGAAACCTATGTCGTCTCAGTAGACCTGGGAAAAAATCGCCATATTTTAGGTATGAACTTTGTGGTTGATTATATAGCATTAACATGCAATATATTATTAGTTATAGATCACCTTAAAGCTTGACAGACCTTATTATAATGTGTGTAACATTGGTTTTGTATGATTTTAAAGTATCATGTGGTACGGAACACAGACCACGTTTACAGGCATAGTAGACCATAGTCCCGGCTGCTTGAGAGCATAAATTTGTAGACAAAATACATTAATTAGATTGTTATTTCTGGTGAATCAAGATTTATTTACAGTTGTTGATAATGTTATTCAGTTAATTATTCCTGTTTACGAGTTGCCTAAGTAAATGATCATAAAGCTATTTTGAAGAGTGATTGGATAAGAAATGGCTGTCAAGATCTTCAATGACTAGATAAAAGTTGGGAAAAACCCTCCGAAATTGAGGGCGTCATAACAATAACAAATATGACTGCGCCCATGGTATACTGTAGTTCAACCGGATCATGGTTGGCTGGGTTATATTATTATATTAATATGTATGCATTATCCAATATTCTAGGCAGTAGCTGTTGGTTAGCATTACTGTGTGTCTCAAGTGGCAGCCCTTAAAGTGTCAGTTCTGGCTGGTAAGCATTTTTAATCAGATTTGATAACAGTTAACAAGCACATGAGCTTGTTTGGTTTAAAACTAAACTGGGGTTAAATGGAAATTTACACAGTACAGTAACACTGACGGATAATGTTATGGTAGAATACGATTACAGTATGTGGAGTTTAATTGAAAGTTAAATGAAACATGTTGGTTGTTTCAGGTTCTAAACCGATTTGTATCTAATATATCTTCCAATTATTGGTGATGAATAAAGAAGGCAACTTGACGAGGCATTTTATGGCTTTTGTTATGGTGTCATACCAAACCATTCACCCACAACAAAATACTACAATAATGTGTATTTCAATCTTTTGTATCTGAAACCAAGCAGTGGGCCCTCTGGTTTTTGAAAACATTTGCTTGCCATCTGACTGACATAACAATCAGAATATTTTGTATATGTGGAGTATATACAATATGTTATTTTGTTAAAATTCAATAGCCAGCCCCTAAAAAAAGCAAATAATTTTGCTTTAACCTTTGGATGAAACCCACCTTCAATAATATCTTCCTCTTCTGATTCTCCAACAATATCTATTTCTTCTTCTATTCCATTCAAACTTTCCTCATCTTCTATTCCATTCAAACTTTCCTCCTCTCCTTTGCCATTCAGAATGTCCTTGTCTTCTTTTATATTTATAGGACTTTCCATCTTTACTCTTCTGTCCAAACACTCTGAAAAAAAAGTTGTTTATGCAAAATTCCATCAAGTAAACCGAGACCTCTGCCAAGGTTCTTTAATACAATATAAAACTTAGTACTGTACTCTGTCCATAAACTTTGACCCTAAAAAAAAAAAAAATATGGATCGATGCAATATCACAAAAGAAAAAAAAGGTATGTACGGTTTTAACATGAGTTTGCATCTTTACAATCTCAGTGACCTGATCTACACATTTATGTAAGAATCCCAAATTCGTTGAAGTCACTTCCAGGAGATCGCTTTCTTAAAACGTGTAATTTCCTTTTGCTGCGCAAGATGATGACCATTGGCACAGACTTCCATGAGACAATTCAAGATAGGGTGAAAAAGTAGTAAAAAACCTGCAAATATTTATGTATTTTTAAGAGATGGGTTGGTTCCCGGGAGAGTTTCATTTGCTTTCGAGAGAAGGTCCAGATTTCTGGGAGAATGACCCCTTACCTCTTCATGCATAATCTGTTTGCTGTTACCAAGAATGTCTGTGAATCATGATCAAAAGCAATGTGGGTGTGGTCGATTAAAAGATCTAAAAAGTGGTCCTAGGCGAAGCCCCCGAAAATTTTATTAAGTTAGGGGTTTCAAAGGCTTATTTAATCGATTTTAGAGTCTACTAATACGTAGAAAATACATGTAATTTTTTTTCTCCCCGACGAATTGTGCTTTTTCTCCCCGACGTGGGCCCAGCACTCCCCGACAGGGGGCTGTGGGCCTCCCCGATGGCGGGACCCCCTCTTCTGGAAGTCTTTCAATACGTAAGTACTGGTCTTTAATGATGTCAAGATTCAACATAATATATCAAGAAACAAAGTAAATTCATATAAAAAATCAAGAAAGGTGGTTACTATAATACTATTCTTAAAAGATACATAATGTAACAGTGTCAAAATGTAACAGTGTCAAATTTGCAGGGGATATCTAATGAGAGCTCATTCTATAATTCACATGCCCTCTAGGTCGGTTCTTTTCCCTTGAATATTGTTCCAGATTGGGATGATTAGTGTATTTGAAGATTGATTTTGTGTATTTTTGGAACAGACAGTATTAGTAAATTTAAATTTTTTTTAAATATATTCTGGGGTCATGCATTTTTGAGATTTAAATGTCATAATTAGAATATGTTTATCCCATTTATCTTTAACCATTTTCCAATCTATTGCATCCATGAAATCCTTTAATGAAGTCACTATGTCAACATGTAACACCACTCCAGCAAGTATATTCTGAAGGACTTGAATTGAATTAGAGTTAAGACCATTACAATTTGACCAAATAATGCTACAATAATCAAAGAGTGGCATAACAAATGTGTTGGCAAGTAGCTTAATAATTTTCAAAGGAAGATTGTATTTAATTCTACGAACTACACCAATAAGTTGAGAGGCACATGAGCACACCTGCTTAATCTCTTTGTCCCAAGGCAAACTTTGATCAACATAAACACCAAGGTACTTAAAATAATAAAAACGTTCAATATATTTCTCATTAATTTAAGCGAAATATTTTGTACCAAAAATCATAAGCTTTGTTTTTTTTTTTTTTTAATGTTCAAAGTAAGTTTGTTCCTATCAAACCATTTTACAATCTTATCTATTTTTTTTTTTTTTTTAATGTTCAAAGTAAGCTTGTTCCCAGAAATAAAAATCCGTTCGGATTCACGTTTCCGATGGCTTTCTGATCCATTGCTCCGAATCCGGAGTCCGGGGAAAAAATCGGACTGTGTAAATGTGAACGCTTCTATTCTTTACCACTAAAGCCATTTCTCACGATTTTTTCTCCGGACTCCAGACCGGAATCCGGGCTTGATGTGAACGTAGCTTTAGACACATTATTATATTGTGAAATGTTGCTTTTGTATGTTCGAAAACTAATTCCAGTGGCGGATTAAAAAAGGGGGCCCCTAAATTTTCAAAATAATAAAATATATATATTTGATAAAAATTTAATTAATTAAAAATTATAATTTTATAATTATAATTATAACATTATAAAATAAATAATTATAAAAACTACAAATCTTAATCTTAATAATAAATTATTGATTTTGGAATCTTTGGAAGCTGTTTTCTTAAAACCTACAAGGTTGATATTCCATTCCACTATTTTAAATTCTTCTTCTTAAAGACTTCATGCAGAATCTAAAAACACCTAACGCTTAATTTTTTTTCCTACAAACACCTATTTTTGCCAGAACCGGTCACAATTATACATAAGTAATAACAACAAATAATAATAATAATAGTTATTATTATTATTATTATTATTATTATTATTATTATTATTATTATATTATATTGCAGTATTAAAAGTATTTTTCAGACCTAAAAAATATTTGCAAATTAAAAACACTATTTTAAATTCTTCTTCTTAAAGACTTCATGCAGAATCTAAAAACACCTAACACTAAATTTATTTCCTACAAACACCTATTTTTGCCAGAGCCGGTCACAATTATACATAAGTAATAACAACAAATAATAATAATAATAGTTATTATTATTATTATTATTATTATTATTATTATTATATTGCAGTATTAAAAGTATTTTTCAGACCTAAAAAATATTTGCAAATTAAAAATACTTACAGAAACTGTCATTAAATAGCTTTTGGACACCTGCTCTTAACATCACTCTTGACATATCATTAACATTCGTCTCACCATCTTGTAGAAAACACAAAGTTCACAATTTATTTACCAGTTTTACCATGAGCTTTGTGAAATAGTATGGTACACTTTATCAATTTTTATCGTTTTTAAAATGTGGTTAGTTACATTCTTTTATGGAAATTTTTGTTACTAACATTGGTCTACCTGGAGTAGATGTTCCTTTTATATCTTGTGATTTTATTGTTTTGATTACATTTTTTAGGTTTATTGCAATTTCTGCATGTAAGTGGGAACGAAGAGTTCCTGTTGGACAATTGTTATAAAATTTTAAAAAATAAAAACATCTTCCACAATGGACACACTACCTCTACTGCTGGAAGCCTCTGTATTGTTGATCTGTACAGATTGGATGCCACTGTTGTTACTCAACTGATACACTTTCCCCGTTGATGGCACAACAAACATTGCCATCCCTTCCACACCAAGCTTTTCAAGTGCTTCAATCTGTAGTAATAGAAGTAATTTGTTGATATGAATCAGTAATATGTAACGTTTCAATGTTTTATAACTTTGATAAACAATGTAAATTGTAGTGTCATTGGTTTTTTATAGCATTAGGTGAACATTATCGAAATCCTCTTTCAGACGAGATGTTTATGCTGTTTGTCCCATGTGCATTATGGCTTTAATGATTCTTCAAAAAATACTTAATTGACACTACACTTAATTGAATGTTGTTTCCAAATTTGAAATGCATGAGACTGAATGCGCACATAGCCTATGCAAACGGTGCTAAAATCTATCTAGGAATCGTAACTAAGGAGCTCAGATTTTACACTCCAAACACCATGGATGAATAAAAAACGCATGACCACATTGACAGCAACAGTCAAAAATGTTAGCAGTATCAGTTCAGTACTGTATGTCTGACAGCTGCTCTTTTATGTTTAGTGGCCAAATCAGTATTTCTTGCTTTATTTGAATGTAAATGCTTTTTTTCTGACTGATATATACAGTACAGCTAAATAATATTGCAACATTTACTACGCGTAAATGTCGTAGACATAAGATTTGCGTATGCGTAGGCCACGTAGGACGTAGAATAAACAATCCTCTACACGAACCTTACCCGTAGAACGTAGTTCAGCGAACGTACGTCGTAGAGCTAAGATGAACGTAGGCCGCGAACCAACCTAACGTAGGGACACAGAATTGTTTATGTTTTTGTTGGTTCAGTCTACCGTTATAATTTAACATGAATAAACGTTGTAGTGTACAACTGAATTAAGATAAAACAGGCATCGTCTAATTGCAAGTGTCTTGTGTATTTTATTGTTCTAAAGTTTAGCTTTTAAAATTTAAGATAATTATCCTAATTAATATGTTCGTCTGTTGTTTACCTTAACAAGGCCTATGCGCTGTGCTTGTAGATAACCATGTGTAAGCCTACGCTCACTCTGTATCTTCTCACTATCCTTCAAAATGTCTAGCTACCACATAATACTTGAATAAATTCCAGTTTTTGAAATACATATTCCTTGATCAGATGAGATAGCATTTTCACAAAACTGATATAAATAGTAATACGCAAAGACACTACATTTATGGAAACAAATAAACTAGTTTTGCTGAAGCAACCTGATATACCAACAAACAATGAGCACATGGGATGGAATGTAAATGCATCAGAAAAAAACTTGGTCGACTGCCAAAAGAAAGCATGCAGGGCAAAAGGTTACCGCTAGCATTTGCGCTTTCTAGTCAAAGCGGCAATAAGTCGAAACGGCAATTACCAAACTGGCTACACTTTTTTTATTACTGTAGAGCGGCAATGGACTAAAACGGCAAGAAACCAAATAAATAAATAAATACAAATTAAAAATCCAGACAAAATGAGGATTTAATAATAATAATTATTATTATTAATTATTATTATATTTTACGTGATTACTGTATTAATAAATACCAGCAATCCACAAGGAAGATTCAAACCAATCTAGAGGCAGTGTGAAGTTGGCCCTCATCCAAACAACAAATCACGCACCACTAATCTAGGTGAAAGGTTAAACATGTGCTTCATTTTGTTGTGCGTCAATTTTTCACTTGCTTTCTACTTCCTCTGAATACTCAATTATTTGTCTATGTGGTAATAAATTTTATTAACATAAAATTTTTATTAATTATTGCTTTAATTTTTTAATGAATTATTATTAACATATGCAAGTTAGGTAAATAAAAGCTGAAAGTTTAAATCGCCTTTGTGCTAGCGTGATAAGAAACCATTCAACTGAACAGAGCGCGACTCTGACTCTTGAAACATGAGACGATATAGAGCATGTGGTTTGTTCCCAACTGTAAACATCGACCACATTACGGGTATAACGACAAAGAAATTATTACACCATGGTTTTAAAAGTCTTAATAAAAATATAAAAGACGAACCAAAACAAGCCGTGGTTTTATCTTTTTGAGAAAGATTAAATGAATTAGATAGTAAGAAATTTAAATAATCAAAATATTAATAATAGATGAATACAACGTTACGACTGAGTCCGACGAGAATTGGTAGTGAACTACATTTTCTCGTGTATGAAGACATCGACTATCTAGGCTGCAGTCCTTCATAAAAAAAAAGTTTGTCGAATTTTCTTCTTGTCACTTTCTGATTTAGCAACTCAGCTATACATTGATTGCAGTATTTTAGATAGTTATGTCTGTAGAATACAAAAAATAATTTAATCTTGACTAGGACTATATAGGGCCGTAGTTGAATTGTAGGATTGCAGAACAGGCACAACATAGCCATGTATCATGCAATAATAGGCTTAGGCTCCCAATCGTGTAGGGAAGCAGATTTTCATCCTATATTATCTGCCGGTTTTAGGTATGCGCCAGTGCTGTTACATACACCGCTGTGGCAACATACAAGCTAAGAGTAAGTACAAGGTTGTCTAAAACTACATCAAGAAAAGTTTGACTTTATTTTCGTGAGTAATTACTAATTTCAAGGAAGGTGTACACCTTGGCCTATGATTATTTGCTGTTTATGATGAACGTTATTCTAGATAAACGTTCGATAGACCACATTCTATCCTACGTTCAATGTTCTTCGGTTCTACGCATTGTACACACTTATTGACTACGTTATAAACTGTTCTACGTTCTAAATTAACTATGTTCTACGTTTACGATTATGTTTTTGTTACGCGCATCTTACGAGTGTACTACGAAGATTACGCGTGGTACGGAGACAGTAATTCACGTCTGTACTGTATATTATTTTTTTACATAATTCTCAAGGATTTTATAATACAATTATTATGGTTTTTCTAGTTGGAAAAGTCCATTCGTAATGAAGTCTTCACCACAATACAAGTTTCAAAATATTATACAGTATTATACAGTAAGATCTCATTAAGCATGTACACACATCTGGGAAAGAACAGCATTTTTGTACATTAAATCTTGACTTTAAGCTGCTTACCTTTTCATTAACTTCTGTAACCAATCTCGTAATTGCTACTTTCTTCTGTGTTTTGGTCATTTCTTCAACTGTTGGGAGCCTCATCTCTTGTGCCCTCTTAAAGTAAGCCAAACTCTCACCAGAAGACTTTTTGATCTGCCATACTTTGGATGCACTGTGCAATGCAACATGCCTAGGTGTGCCATTAGCAATTTCTATACATTACAAAAATATATTAATGATTTTCTTTTATTTTTTAATGATTAACGCCCCCAAGGAGGTTGTTTATTTGTTTAGAGAGTTTGTGTGTTTGTCTATGAACACACAACAGGCCACAATTTTTACCTGAAACTCATCAACTTTGTCACAATGATCCATAAAGAAAAGATCTGTAGGTGATTAAATTTTGAAGGGTCACGGTCACAATGGAAAACTACATTTTAAATGACAGCCAACAGCCAAAATGTTTTATCAGAAATTTGGTCAAACTCTTGGTCACAATGTTCCATGATCAACAATCTAAAGTTGATTAAATTTTGAAGGGTCAGGGTTTAAAGTCAAAGTCACAAGCGACAAAAAAACTACTTTATTTATATAAAAGCCTACAGTGCAGTTTTCACATTCACAAAAAACCACCAACGGCATATTCCTTGCCAATTCCAGCAATTACCATGCATTTTTAACATCACCAGCTACATAAAAATGATTAAGGATACTGTTTAATCTAAAGTGAACTCTGTACTGAATTTGTCAGCAAGCAAAAACTAAAATGCAAAAGAGTATATATGCAATGTCTATCCAGAAAAAAGTTGCTTTTTTTTTACATTAAAAATAAGTGTGATGGACGTTAAAATAAAAAACCAATAAACCAACTGTACTGATTACTTATTTCAAATGTATTTCATTATCAAACTCTCTCACTGATGAACATTCTGCATTTTGTAATGCAAAAATCAGAAGAATGCTAATCAGGGAGAGATCTAGTATTTAACGTGAAAAAAATTGCAAACAGCTTTTGGTTTTTGATCCCATCATCAATCTCCAAAAATCACACCTTGTTCATTCACCCCAAAATGATGCAAATTGGCCTAATTTGCAAATTAGGGAGGAAAAAATATAAGCATATTCACGCATCATATTTTCATATGTATTTTCTGCACACTTCGAAAGTTTTATGCTTTGACCTTGGACATGCGCAGTTTGAAACATGAATAGGCTTATTCCTACATCTCTGCAACCACTGGTCATAGAGAGTTGCATCTTGTATAGAATTATTTCAAATTTATACATTTGTACATTTATATTTACTGTAATGAAATTTATTTAGCTACATTGCCTAGGCTTTAAAACCAAAGCCATCAACAACACCATTGGCAGGTAATTCTTCTAATTACCAAGCACATGGAGATGTGGGACCATTTTAAGTGGAATATCCCAGATCTAAATATCTTAAAAACATTTTTTTATGGGGACAATATATATGAGAAATGTATACAGAGAAGAAATATAATGTGGGCGGAGGTATCCAGAGTGTCCTCTAGTACATTGTTTTCATTATAATCATCATTATATAATCAATTAATATTTTGTGATCACTAATTAAATATAAAAACCCACTATATGATGTACATACTACGGAAGCTTAAAGTGACCTTCCGAGTTTCCGAGTTTCCAAGATAATTATCTTGGAAACATGGAATAAACACTTATTAAGACGTCTTTCCGAGATAATTTATCTCGGGAAGACGTCTTTCCGAGATAACGTTTCTTGGAAAGACGGAATTCCAAGATAATTGATCTTGGAAAGACGGAATTCCAAGATAAGTATCTTAGAAAGACGGAATTCAAAGATAACGTATCTTGGAAGGACGGAATTCCAAGATACCGTATCTTGGAAAGACGGAATTCCAAGATAAATTATGTTGGAAAGACGGAATTCCAAGATACGTTATCTTGGAAAGACGTCTTTCCAAGGTACATTTTGAGGATATTTCCTGCACGATTAAAATCGTAACGGTACTGGGTTCGGTCTTCAGGAGTTAGTGTTTCGTACAGGACAATCCATTTATAGAAAAGGCCCTTTATTGGAGAAAGCGTACCTGTCGTTAGCCTTAGTAGCCTAGGTCAATACTAACCCCGGCTATATAAAATTGAAAAATATTAAGACAGATACAATAGTAGTCAATATGCTATTATTGCATTACGTTTTTGTAAACAAATTTTGGCAGAAAAAAAATGAAATTAATTTTTATACATTAAAAATTAACGTAGGCTTATTTTTCACGCGTTTTAATAAGCAGATATTGATGCGTGCATACAGAACAATGCGTGAAAATACAGAACAACACACAATGAAATACAACAATATTTACAAATTGAATATAGGCCTATCCATTGGTAAGTTACAGGTAGCTCAACTTTCCTTATAATTACTACAGCTTTCAGGCTATCTTTGAATTTTGAATTTCGTCTCCTCGATGTTATCTTGGAATTCCGTATTTCCAAGATAACATATTTTGGAAAGACGTCTTTCCAAGATACATTATCTTGGAATCCCGTCTTTCCAAGATAAATTATCTTAGAATTCCGTCTTTCCAAGATAAATTATCTCGGAAATCCGTCTTTCCGAGATAAATTATCTCGGAAAGACGCCTTAATAAGTATTTATTCCATGTTTCCATGATAATTATCTTGGAAACTCGGAAACGCGGAAGGTCACTTTAAGCTTCCGTAACATACAGTATATAGGTTAGAATTAATTTAAGTGTCTGTTTAAAACCACATCCCAAAATACTGTTGTAAACTGAATGTAAAAAGATGTTTATTTCGACTACAGTACAATAAATACATAATCTAATTCAACAAATAAATTGTTGATCGACTGTCCGCAAAATATGGGCTGCAAGACATTTTTATGAGCAGGGAAATCACCCCAGAGGGAAAAGAATCCAAAGATTCCTTTTGTATCTGCTTCTATGTACTGATTATATGAAATTTTGTCACTATACTACAGATAATGATGTCAAATGATTGTATCATAAAAACATGGAGGTAACCAGAACTACTTGCTAGTTTGGTTCCTGGCACTAGGCCGAGACATGGTGCATAGAATCTGAAGTACACTGTGAAGTACAAAGTTTGCAGAATGCTGTGGTTTTTTATTTAATTTGGTTTGATTTATTCGCATCTCATATAAAAAACTGTACAATCATTAAAACAATACACAATGTAAAATTCATAAAATTCATTAGAAAAAGTTACCAAGAAAACAAGCAAAAGGCCAATACAAAGTCCAAGAAGATTGATGGAGTAACAAGGTACAAAGTTTGCAGAATGCTGTGGTTTTTGATTTGATTTGGTTTGATTTATTCGCATCTCATATAAAAAAACTGTACAATCATTAAAACAATACACAATGTAAAATTCATAAAATTCATTAGAAAAAGTTACCAAGAAAACAAGCAAAAGGCCAATACAAAGTCCAAGAAGATTGATGGAGTACAAGGTACAAAGTTTGCAGAATGCTGTGGTTTTTGATTTGATTTGGTTTGATTTATTCGCATCTCATATAAAAAACTGTACAATCATTAAAACAATACACAATGTAAAATTCATAAAATTCATTAGAAAAAGTTTCCAAGAAAACAAGCAAAAGGCCAATACAAAGTCCAAGAAGATTGATGGAGTACAAGGTACAAAGTTTGCAGAATGCTGTGGTTTTTGATTTGATTTGGTTTGATTTATTCGCATCTCATATAAAAAACTGTACAATCATTAAAACAATACACAATGTAAAATGCATAAAATTAATTAGAAAAAGTTACCAAGAAAACAAGCAAAAGGCCAATACAAAGTCCAAGAAGATTGATAGAGGAATTGAGGAATTAATTCAAAGGAGATGCAAGGATAGCCCAAGAAAGTCCTAAAAATGTCTTATTTCCAATGGGGTCCTTAAGACGAAAAACCAAGGAGGCCGAAGGCAGCATCAAAAGAAATTTCAAGCCAAATTAAAAACAAAACGAAAAAAGCAGAAAAGTTCAAAAAGATTAGTAAAAAACCACCGAAGCAGATTCTTCATTACATGCTTTTTTGATTTAAATAACCTTTAACTTTAGATTTAAAATTACTAAGTGAGGGGCAACTTTTTATCTCTTTAGGTAAAGAATTCCAGTCCTTGACTGCTTTATAACAGAAGGTGTTTTGGGCAACTGAAGGGAGTGTCGGGACCTAAAATTAAGAGCACTTCCCGTCATACTATAATTATGTGAAATACGGTGAAAATTAATGGGGAGATAGGATGGGCAGCAATCATGAAATATTTTGAAAACATGACAGACCCTTAAAAACATCACTCTGTCGGAAACATTTAACATTCCAGTTTCAGATAATTGTGGTTGGCCAACATGCGTACGGGGCTTAAGGTTTAAAATAAAGCGTACAGCTTTATTTTAGGTAAGTTTTTTAGATAATTTTTTGCCAATACTTGGAAACCATGAAGAAGCTCCATAGTCGAATAGAGGTTGCACGAGAGCCATTGTGAGAATTTTACGACAAAATTGATTTACGTACGAACTTTGGCGGTAAAGGTATTTTAGACGGCCTAGATCTTTTAGACTCGCAACAAGAAGGCATCTAGTTTAAACTTTATGAGATAGCCTATATTGCACACCGGACCAAATAGCAGACAAAATTTACTATAGTAAAATGATGATCAATAGAGGCCAGTGGTGTGCCGGTGGGGAAAATAAATCTATGTAATTTTTACAGATGGTGAGACTTTAGCTTGGTTTCCGTCAGTGGCGTATGTAGAAGTCTCGAAATGGGGGGGGGGCTGATGGTGGGCGTGAAGGTGAAGTGGGGGAGCTCGATGATCAGTTGAGGGGGGGCTAATACAAAATATGGTGATTTTAGGTGATATTTTTTTGGGGGAGGGGCGAGACTGGGGGGCCTGCGCCCCCCACGCCCTTCCCTAGATACGCCACTGGGTTCCATGAAATCACTTACCCCTTCAGCAACAGTCGCCGACAGTTGTCAGGAAGGTTGAACCTAGTTCAACTTGGCAATTGTGTTGCAGATGAATCAGGGTACATTGCTAGCAGAAAGGAACCCCAATTCGCCTGCAAAAGTTTAACCAGGTTTAACCTTCCCAACAACTGTCTGTGACTGTCGCCGATAGGGTGTGCGATTCTATGGAAACTGAGCTTTACAGATTGATTAAGCCTTTAGATTCCCTAAAATGCTAGTGTTTGCAGTTGAGGGAGCAGTGGACTTTAAAAGCTCTAATAGATGGTTTAGGAATTTCAAGAAAAGGAATAAACTAAGCCATTACAAAATGCAGCAACAGCTTTGGCACCAGCTATAACTTAGTTTCATTAATGTGCCAGAACGTTTAATGAAAGATTTTGTGGATATCAAGATAGCCTGGACCAGAATCCATTGCCATTTTTTATGTCTAATGGGAGAACATATGATAAGGAAGGGAAGAAAGAGATCTGGGGGTGGTGAATGGCACATTGGTCATTTTACCAGCCTGTTGACCATTTACTGATGGAATCCATAGGGTATGGCTGACGCTCTTATACAGAGAAACAAGCCAGAGAAACACACAAAGAAAAAGGTCAGTAAACTTAATGGTACAGCATTTTCAATAGCACCTACGGTATTTCCAACCAAATGTCATGGCCTATATACTATTACTTTCTCAAGTGTATTTATTAGATCTTATGTTGCTATATACAAACATTTTTTTCTACGAAGTTTGGCCTGGAAACACATTGTGTTAGTTGCCTTCAACAAAACAAAATTTCGAAAAGCATATTAATGAGAACTTTAAAATTATCTGATGGGGTGTAAAAGGCAAGTGCCAGCAAGGGAAAATTTCTATTAAAAAGTGGGTTGACAAAGCCTGGTGCAAAATGAACAGGGACCTAGCTATTTTAGAAAGTGCAGTATTAATGTAGCCCTGGATGGTTCTCAAAATGAAGTATTAAATGGCATTTTTCCACAACAATAAATCCCTTATCAGAAGTATTTCGGAAGAAATAATTATTATTGGTATGACAATCAATTATTTTTTTTGGCAGTAGGTAAAACTTCAGAAATGAAATGCCATCTTATGCCTTTCTAATTTTGGATGGTTCTGAAAATGAAGTATTGTATGGCATTTTCCCACAACGATAAATCTCTTATCAGAAGTAATTTGGAAGAGATAATTATTATTGGTATGAATGTCAATCATCTTTTTTGGCAGCAGGTAAAACTTAAGAATTGAAATGCCTTCTTTCTAATTTTTTTTATATTTCCCTAAATTGGTCTTTCATTTTGTTTATATATTATACTGAAGATTTGTAGTGTACAAAAACACAAACTTCTGATGTATGTTTTATGTTAGACAAATAAATGCTGTGGAAGTTGCGCATTCATAAATAAATAAATAAATGAATAAATATAATAAATAAAATAATATAATATAATATAATATAATAAATAATAATATAATTATAATTATAATGATATACAATATAATAAATTGTTTAAAATTTAATATGCATTAAATTAATTGTTATTAATTGTTATTGCATTATTTAATTGTTTTTTTAATATGCATTATGTGATGTAATACCTTGTTTGACATACTCTGAAACAAACAAGTTGTAACCATTTGGGGGTTTCCTCCTCAGTCGACAATATTTAGGATATGCTTTTCCTGTCTGCTGTCTTTTGTAATTTCCAATCCAATCCTTAGAGGTATATAAAAATAGTGTAAACAATATTAAACATTAACATAAACTCATTAAACATGAGTCCATATAATAAAAATGAATAGGATAATTTTCCTTAATTTATGATTATGATAATAAAATACAGTTATGACATCATGATGTACCAATAACAATAATTACCGTAACTGCTTGAATAAGCGCTGCTCTCGAATAAGTGCTGGTTTTGAATAAGCATCGTACCAAGCATGATTTTTTCGTTAAGCAGCGCTTAATCGAGAGTATATATTACCCTGTGTGTAATGAAACAGGGTTTTAAATACAATGTACAAAGTGTTAAAATGAATAACTAAAATAATGGAGACACAAGCATCTCTTTAAAAACGTTTGTTTACAATGATAGGATCTATGATAGACATAGGAACGGGCATGGAAAGTGCCGCGCCAATGTTTTTTTATAAGTGTAGCTCTCCTATGTGGCGCTTATTCAAGCATTTACGGTAATAACAAAGAGATAGTTTTATCATGTAATATATTATATTTGGTAGTGGGTAAAGAATATTAACTTACTGAATTCACAAAAAGCACTGTCGAGACTACAAAATGATTGGCGAAAACATGTGACATGCCTAAATATGGTCATGATGACATCAAATTATGACCGTATATAGGGTCCTTATGACTATTATATATGGGCATACAAAAGTTTTTGTCAAACAAAATTTGATAATCTGGACAGAGATTTAGTATAAATTTAAATGATTATTTTATTGCTAATTACCTTGACTTGATTCTCTGTCATACCAGTTTCAAAAGCAGCTTGTCGGACTAGCTCTTTCTTTTTTTCATCCCTAAACGAAGTCATTCCCCTTTTCCAGAATGATTTTAGAATATTCAAATTGTGTTCTCCTAAATTGGAACGGTACCTTCTTTTTGATTGGGTTTGAATGTTTCTGCAATGATTGTATAATACTCTACATCAATCTTTGCAATCTGATAACTTACATTAATTATAACTAGTAATTAATAATATAATAATAATAATATACTACAACAATTTCCTACAACCAGTATTTATGATAATGTACATTAATTATACTATAATGATGATATAAATTAAATATATTACAACTATTTACCAAAATCATTGTTTCTGCACACTAAGTTTTAAAGCATTTTTAATGGTTTACAATCCTACAAACCTTAATTTTAAAATAAAAAATCAGTCATAATCTACTAATTTGTCAATGTACACATGGCCTACCTTCTATTGCTGGTCATCCTGATTGAATTAAATTTGACCTGCAAAAAAAATTAGTTATTTGCAAAACTTCTAAATTGTAGCTTTTTCAGTAAAGGTTTAATATATTATGCCATTTATTGGGCATTCAAGCCACAATCACAGTTGACATTTTTAATAGTATACAATGTATTATGAAGTACAGTAGTACTGTACTGTCCAACTATTTTCCTAGCAACTTTACACACAAATACAGCATGGGGTATTTTTTCAGGTATCATCCACACATTTAAAATACTTTACAGTATGAATATACAGTTAGTACAAACATGTTTAAGGTCAATTTAAACATGTAGCAGCGTTGTTATTTTAAGCCGGCGCAATACTCGCTATTATGATTTTTTCGCCGGCTCTTAGAAGGCTCGAGTAAAAATAAATATCATAAACGTGACCTGAAACCTAGGCTCATCATGGCCTGGGCCTAGCCAAGCCCTAAGAATCAATCGCGTTGATTACAAAGGCAATGACTGAAATTATATTCTTCATTTCAACATTAATTTTACTGATGTTGTGGTGTATTGTCGTTCATGAGACTCACTTCACAGAAAAAATTCATAAATTTTCTGTATCTACTCAAATGTTCGTTTTGTGCACCTTAGTCTAACATTGTCAAAATGACAGTTTAATGCTACATAAGAACATGAAATTTTATAAAATTTGTAAATTTTCAATTGCTATAACTTTTCATTTTCTTAATCAATTTCCACAAATCAAATTGAAGTTTATAGTTGCATTTAACAAGCTCGCGGTCAAAAGAAATCAGATGTAACAGACATTGCGAAGTACCCAAAATTAATAAAATAGTAACTAACACCATAAAACGTATGGCACGCATAGACTAATAAATGACGGCTGTACTCGCAACTAGTATCGGATTGTCAATGCCACAGTAAAGATCAAAGGACTGTACGCACGCTGTTCGAGAGCGGAGATGTGCGTCCTTTTGTTGAATTGCCTTGAATATACAAGCAGTAAACATTTAAAAATAATTGAAACTTTAAAAAAACTATAATAGTAATAATAATAATAATAATAACAAGAACAACAATCCAACATACAAATTCAATAGTAAGAAAGATTGGGGGAACACAATATAATTGCTGCGAACAGCCAATTCATAATCTTGACAGCAATTTGACCTCTGAAAGGTCATTGTTTGTCAAAAAACAAGGGCCTAAGATGACTGAAAAGCGGAGTTTCCTTCTTTCGTTCTGCCGGGTAAAAACAATTACTTTAGGCGACGTTTGTAGACTAACCAACACGTACCAACGTCCGCATGTCGCGCTAGCCTTATCCTACTCTAGGCCTAGACCATAGGCCTAGACCATAGGCCTAGCCTTGAAGGGACGAAGGCCCCAATGAAAAACAACGTCGCTCCTTGATAGCTAACATTGCCTATTTAACATCACAATAATTCATTATTAGACCTATAGTTGTTTTTTGAATTGTGCTCCACAAATCTCAGCCGATACCTCGCACAACTCGAGTAACCTCTCGTATCTATTGTCGTGACGTCATGACTCGCTGGCTCACACTTGCGATGTCTCGCACTTGTGACCAAATAACACGCTGGCTCGCACTTTGGCAGTCAACTGACCCCATGAAAACCCACCCTTGGAAACTTGCTCCATAAAAAATTGTACACTTCCTAGACCATGCAGTCTTCAAAATAAAAATTGTAACCTTTGGTAATCAACTACATTTTCCACATACATAGAAATTTTTGAAACATTATTTAAAAAAAAACCTAAACCATAATTCACCACTATAGACACTTTTTGACAAAAATGAAAAATTACAACTTTGTTACACAATGAGAAGTGTTCTAATATAGATAATGAGTTGTGTCTCATATTATTTTTTATATTTTTATTATTCATTATTTTCACTTGACTCACACAAATAATTTTGTTCGACGAACATTTATATGTAGTTGTACTTCGCAGCACTTCACTTGCAATTTGCAATTTCTAGTATATACAATATAAAACAAGTGAACATTTAAATAATTAAAATACAGATAATATGAGGCTAAACAATTTATATCATGAAAGTAAAAAAAAAGGAAAGAAAGAAAAAAAGTATAACAATAAATAACATTTTTAAATTACGAAATAATTCGTCATAGATGTGTACTGTAAAAGAAAAAAAAAAAAAACCCATTCAGAAGATTATAAACTGCTACCCGCACCCGGTGGCACTTAAGTCTTGGCATTGATTTTTGCTCCTTTGCCGTTTTGGTCTACGCCTATTGCTGTTTTGGTAGTTGACATTGCCATTTTAGTCTTTTGCCATTTTGGTACTTAACATTGCGTTTTGGTTTATTGCCGTTTTGGTCATTGCCGTTTTGGTGTTTTGCCGTTTTGAAGAGACAGTATATATATATATATATATATATATATATAGGCCTATATACAATTACATATATATTTATACAAAAAAAAAACCAAAAATTAAAAAAACAGTATGATAAAACCGACTGACGAACTTACAATGATAATGAGGCCTAGTTACTGTATATTAAATTTTGCGTTTTCGCAACTCCATTGGCGCTCCATATAATTTTTTGAAAACAAACCGCGACCGAAATCAAGCGCGACCGAAGTGAGGAGCAACCGAAACGAAGGGCGACCGAAATAAATGTATTCGCCTAACCCAGCTAGGCCTAGCCTTATTATGCAATTTTCAGCCTTAGGCTCTAGGCTAGTATTTAAACACTATGGAACTACATGGATTGCAAAATATTTCGACTCGAGAAATAGACACTCTTTCACAGAGATAAAACCTAAACCTACCTACCAGTTTAGAACACTGTACTACCTACCATACAACCTACGTTCTTTATTCCCTTTATTCCACAACACACATGAAACGATAAAACCAATAAAATCTACAAACCACATGGTAAATATTATGGAACGCCAAATGGACAAAAAACAAGTGTCAGCAGTGCAAAACACTGTGTTGATTTCTTAACGGTGGACAATGAAATTTCCCGACTTCTGAAGTATTTTTTAATTACTTTAATTTAAAAGACACCTCAGAAGTCGGGAAAGCTCATTTCCCGCCTTCTAGGAATCAAAATTTTCCTGGGGAAGAATCCTCTTTTCTTTTTGGGATTCATCTCATGGAAAAAATCGTATGCAACTACTCAATTTTTTTTAAAATGTATTTTTACACACATAACAGGCCTATTTACTAGACTGTAATGAGAAAGTTTACCTTACCGTTTTCATAAAGGGGAAAACCTTGAATTTTGAAGAACGAAGTCATTAGACACCTAGCTCAAAAGTCGAGAAAGGTCATTTACCGCCATCTAGAAATCAAAATTTTCCCGGGGGAGGAATGTTACCCCACCACCTAGATTTGATTCCAGATCTGCATGATTCATATTCCCATTCATCTTATAAGCAGTGGCGTAACGGCGGGGGGCCCGGGGACAGACTGTCCCCCTGACGGTTTTTACCGGGCTGACCAAGCCGTCGTACCGGGCTGGGTAAGAAGAGAAAAGAAAGAGGGGAGAGGGAGGGAAAGAGAAAGAAGGGCAAAGAAAAAGAAAGGAAAAAGGAAAGGAAAAAGAGAAGAGAAAAATAAGGACAAGAATAAAAAGGAAGATGTAATGAACAGATATACCCCGGCCTGCAACCCCTTCTCCACTTCAAAATCTGTCCATATCGCATTTGATCTAAGCTGCCAGGTATTCTCCGCAGTGGTGTACGTAACCACCGGGGGTCAAGGGGAAAATATATATCTGTGGAAAATCTTTCCCCACTGAATGCCCTTTTCACCCGGGAAAGTGCCTGAAAATCTCAAATTTTAAATCGCATATTCTGTTGAGGTAGGCCAATTTCCTCTAAAAATTGCACATTTAGGGAGTTTTGATCAATTCTGACGAAATTAGAATTTAAAAAACAAAAATTTTTTCGCGCGCTTCGCGCGCATTTTTTAATGTTATAGCTTGTGCTTGCTTTCCTTTGCCTTCTAAGTTATAACACATAGTCCCAAACTCAAGAAAGAAGATTTAAGATAGATCGTTTTACCTAAAAGAAGGGCCTCAATGTGTAATGATGTTGATAGAATATGTTTGTAATAAATAAAGTCATAAGGAAAATACTTATATTCAGTTTAAAAAAACGAGTAACTACAGGCCTAGGTCTACATGGATAAGAGTTATAAATCGATTATTTACTAAATTATCTTATATGCATGGTAATAATGGACAGAACGTTAATGATGATGGGATAGTTACAATTTGGGTATTTGCCGTATCTTGGTAATAAAGAAACTCAAGAGAAACATTGATAAAGACGTAAAGTTTATACTAAAATTTAGTTGTATATACCACTTTTAATGTCGACAGATGTTTAATTACTAGACTAAAAGAACGTCATCTGGACCTAATAGCGTGATCGTTGACCATGTTAAATTTTGTGATAATCTTGACTTACACATTTGATGATCATTTTAAACCATTCGTTAGGTTTGATTTTTCGTAGCACTAGATTTATTGACAATTCTAGTAACTGGTCACATTTATTGTTTAAAGAGGCTTTCGCTATTAGACGTTTCAACACATTACTTAACAAAGGACTGAAAGCATCCAAAGAACTATCATTGTTTACTTAGTTCTCACTTTCAGTTCGTTTTACCACATCATTAAGATTGCTTATTGTTGATAATTTACACCAGCACTCAAGAACCCTTGGCTTGACTGTTTTTCATTGTTTAATCATATAATCTTCTGTAACGCATCGTGTCAGAGGGTTTAGACATTATTATGTTATCATCATCAGGAATTCCTGAAGATAATGACATTCCTGATGATGACATAATTAATGTCGAAATATTGAATCCTAACACGATTTGCAATGTTGACTATTATTCATTCCAGTCAGTGATTCAATTATTTTGAAGATTTACGTGGCAATTAGTTTTTAAATGACGAGATAGAGGAAAACGATGTGCGGTTTTATGAAATATATAAATGTCTCCCTCTATTAACGCAAAAGTTAGGTTGGTTCATGATCGCGCACGCGCTCGTTTCTCTCTCGCTATCTATCTCTCTCTCCTCATCGTCAGCAGCAGCATGGAAACAAGATAGTTTCGGTTGGTGATGAATTCATTTGTGTGTTTTTTTTAAATTAGCATCATTTTGCATATAACAGGTTATAATTTCCTTGTCTTTGGCTATACAATGACACTATATATGTAGTCATAGCATAGGCCTAGCCTAGCCTAGTCCTTAGTTATGAATACGACAGTAAATTAATCCTCCTCCTAGCGCCTATAGTATAGGCCTAGCCGACTATTTCGTGGTGGGCGGGAGGGTGTAGAACCGTTTCGGCGGCGGCGGCGAACAAGTTGAAGTTCAACCGCCGCGATTCATGGAACACATTAGTATGTTGTATGTTTTCTGTCAATTCAACTCATTGTATGACTAATAAATATCCTAATAATACCGATAGTTATAATATAATAATATATAATATAACCTTTTCGTTATGTTTAGTTCGTTCATAAAAGAACAAGCGTCTGGATGAACAGAAACTATTTATTTCTGCTGTCTGAGAACTGTGGTGAGTAGCGGCGCTATACGATCGCTAGATAAACAAATTTTTAGCACGTTTTGTACAGTAGTAAGTATACTAGGCTAGAGGGGTTTTTTTTTGGTGTGATGTTAGCTGAAAGATGCAATTAGTCTTCAAACTCCGAACCATAGTTGAAAAGGATAAGTATAACAATGTTAGGCCTAATCTAAAAAAAAAACTAGCCTCTGTACCTATTCTTGTAGTAGTACTAGTAGTAGTAGTGAGAGTAGTACTAGTAGGAAGGAATCGTCTGCCATAATCCCGCCTTTCTCTGCTCACACAATCTCAAGTTACAGACTGCCGCTCAGTAGAGCATCATTTTGTCCAAACTTTGCCGACATGGCTCCTCAATGTCACACATGCCAACTAGTTAAACCGTGGCGTAAATACGTTTGGCTTATTACTAGGCCAAAGTAAGTAGTAGAAAAGTAAGTGTATAGCTAGGCCTGGTTTATACACAATTGTAATAATAATATTTTAGTAGGCCTAGGCCTAGTTATGGTCTTTGGCTTTGCTGGTTAGGCCCAGGCCTAAGGAAGGAGGCCCTACCTAGGCTAGTTAAGTAGCCTACTAGTATTAGTAGTTGAGGACTACTGTACTAGCCTATCCCTAGAGTAGGCTGGCGTATTTAAGCTGGTTAAATAGTATCATTAGTAATTCATTGTAATAAAAATGGCATTTGGCAAAAAACTCATGGCACTCCTGTACTACTAGGCTGTTAGTCCTACTATTACTACTTAATACTAAATATTTATTTATTATTATTTAATAATTATTATTTACTTTATATGTATATATATACTTTAACATCACTCAACATTTTTATTCAATCATTTATTTTTTTTTATTTGTAAAGACTGGTGGTTTGTATAAAAATAAAAAGGATTATATAAATGATTATTTTATATAAATTACAAAGATAATCCATTGAGCAACCACTGTTGTATATACACAGTTCATCATGGAGGAATTTAACTTATGCTAGGCCTATGCTATACAATAGCAATATATACTATATATAAATATTAAGTGTTTCCTTCTCAGATGGATGAAAGAAAGAAACGAGAAAGAAAGTGCCCCAAACACTTTAACGATTTTGATTTGGAAGATGTTAACAATGAAGGTATGTAAGTGCTGTATTACATATTTCATTTTCTTATTGAATATAAATGTTATTTAAAAAAATTGAATGGTTATAATTAATGGATTGTTATAGTTTCAAACTTTATCCTACAACCGGTAGCATGCTTCCTACAAAAAAAAAAAAAAAAAAAATCAGTACACTATTAGTTGTTATTCGTAATCTAGATACACCACCTGATATTTCATATCTTTGAGAAATTAATTATGGTAAATAACCAAATTATGTATCCAATATGGGCTTATACAGTACAAACATTATTTTGAGTTAACCAATGTTATCAGCCATCCACCCTTAGTTTCACTCACTCTTAGTTTTCTACATCTACTTTACAACCCTGAGCATGCACACCAGTTGTAGATATAATTAGATTTTTATAAATTGACATTGACACTCTTTCTGTTGTATTACAGAAAATGTGTTTGTCAAAAAAAGGAAAGCATGTCAAAAGAGTAAAGGTAAGAAGTATTGCATTGTTTGATAATATTATATTTTGTGTTGGCGGTAAATTATTAATTTGCTTTTTGGTATGAGTAGTTATATTTAATAATTAATATCCAATATTTTTGTTAAACTTTAAACAAAGTTGTACTTGGCGTAAGTGTATCAAGTGCTGATGTAGCCCGAGTCCAGGCATTAAGAACATCAAGACTAGAAAAGTACAAGGTATGTTAATGAATATGGTTTACCAAGTCATCTATCTTGTACCTTCTATGAGTATCCTTTTAAGCTGTGCAATATCATACAGAGAGCTAGCCTACGAGTGACATCACTGCATTACTACAGTCTGTCCACTGATTGAAGAATAGAATGCCATGTTCCTCATTGTCAATTTGCGACTAGCCCTACACTGATTGATTATTCATGTGATACACGTTGCTAGACAACAAGTCGTTAAAGGTATTGATCAATGATTGTTTACAGACATTGAATGATATCTGAATAATTTCATGCAAAATTATAATTTTTATAATACTTTTCATCAAACACTTGTTTTTATTTTATCAGGAAATGATTAGAGATTTACCTGAGGCTGATGTCAGGCAACTTTTATTCCGGTGTCTAGAAAAAAACCAGGGACTAGTGATTGATGTTGTGGATAAAATTAACCAAAAATCTGATGATGTACAACCAACAAGAGAGGCAGTTACCCAAGTTCCTGATTGGTGCGTGTGCTCTTACTGTAAAGAAATGCCGACTGATTTGGAACGGTTATGTTGTAACATGAAACCTGAGCTGTGCTTGTCGAAAGAAGTAGTAAGTCTACAACTTAATGTGACTTTAAATGTAATTCATTCAGACTAACTGATTAATAAAGTCCAAAGTTATATTTTGAGTTTTTGTATCTAATGTGCATAAATAAAATGGATGCCCTTTTTAAAAAATATTATAAACTATTTTACATTAATCTAAGCAAACATGATAAATTAAATAATAACACTAATTAATTATAAGTATTTAAGTAATGTTGTAAAATATATTTTCAGACAATGGATGCCTATGTCTTAAATGAACTGTCCTTGGCCTTTTCTCGAGCAAGGAAAAGAGATTTTCGACAAATTGCTGAGTTGGAACCCGAGGAGCAAAACAAATCTAATCGTCATCACAGTTACATGTTGTTCATATACTGGAGGCATCAGCGATTATTAAGAGGAGACAGACGCATCATTCCATCATGCTGTGTATGGAGAATTCGCGATAAGTTTCCATCTCCTACCAGAACTTATCGTGGATTTGATGCAAATGTCCACCTTTGACAGTCGCTGAGAATGCACAATTTAGGTTTTTTGTTGCAGCATAACCGTTTCAAATCAGTGTGCATACGCACCAATCAGGAACTTGGTTATCTACTTGTCTTGTATGTTGTTCTGTACATTAATTCTCTCAACTTCAATCACGACCATATTGATATGCTAATTACTCAGTTCAACAATTAATTTTTTGTTTGCAAGCCTCATATACAATTAAACTTGACTGAGTTGACTTTGACTAACTCAATTAATTTCCAAGTTGATAATATTTTACATTGGAAATTTTTGTATTTTTAATTATTAATTTATAAGTCGAATTTTGTGTAGGTCAAATAATTTTTCAATGCCATTTTTTGGATTGGCATTAGGCAAGTTCAACTGTATTTGCAAAACAACCATTTGCAATGCTTTATAAACCCTTGTTGTTGCTAAATCTGGAACATCCAATTAGCTCTTCCATTGATGGTGCTGGAACTTTGGCAATAGTTGTTTTTAATCTTCTCGGGTCATCATGATCCAACATATGCTTATCCATTATGTTGTGTGTATCTGCAAGTCTTGCTGATATTATAGCATCTTGCATCTCGTAAAGATATTTGTATGATTTGTCGACTGGAGTCTTCATTGCTGACCAGTTATTGGTCTTTTTGTTGTAATGTTTGTGCCATCTGATAAAGAGAATGTGTGTTTGTTACAGCAAGGTGCAAAAGAGACAATTAAATAATCAGTAAAAATTAAGTTATAACATAATGAGATTTACTTACTGAGGCCTGCCATCTTTTGTGTGCTTCTGGGGGCGGTTTTTGTTTGTCTGAAAGTCTAAAGCAGCAAGACGGTTTCTTGCTCGAAAGGCTTGAAATCTGTAGTGAAAGTAATTTACCATTATTATATACATCTGTAGTTAAAATCATTTACCATAATTATACAATACTTTTGTTTTCATTGTTCAAATTTTAATTATGGGACAGTAATATACTCCATCACTAAATTTTTACCTAAAACTTTGGCGTTTCGAAGCATAAGCAAGAATCACATTGTGGTAGCTTTCAAGTATTCCAGTATGTCTAAAAAGATAAATATTTAGATATCAAATATATATATTAAAAATATATGTAAATAATTATATAAATAATATATACAGATTAGATACAGTGGATGTTTGTATGTATATTTATATACCTTACTATTAATAGTATTAGTCCCAATTTTAATTAGTACAAGTTAGTGTGTATTATATAACTGTATATCAGTATTACCTGAAATTTACATATCTCGGTAAATTCTTTACAAATGTGGGGTTGTGAAATATACGGTCAAGAGCCTTAGCTGCTGGTGAAGCCCTTGTTAGGTACGGTTTTTCTGGGTCTTCTGGTTGGTCATCACCATGGATAATTTCTGTTCCATTTTCATTTTCAAATGTTACATGGCCACAATTGCCAGAAGACCAAACATGTTCACCCACAACATGGTGTAGGGCTGAAAACAATTTTGTCTGTAAAATCAAAATTGTTAGGGTTGTATTTTAAAATGTATTTAACGTTTTTTAATTATTTTTTTTGATATGCATTCAAATTTTTAAAATCTACCCAACAAAATGTATACTTTTTAGTAATTATTAATATTTATGTGTGTTACAAATAACAACCAGATATTGGCATGACATATGATTGTTGTTTTGTGGTGGTGTTTGAAATAAAGAATGAACTTGAATACAAACCTCTAATCGGTTCAAATCACCCTTTGCCATTTGACATGAATGCCAAAAATGATTTGCAAGCGGCTGTATCCAAGCCAATAGAGGTTTATTTTCTTCCTTCTCTGCTGCCTGAGAACAATAAATATCTTATCATTTATTATTTTTTATTTGGAATTTAAAACGCAAATTGTAATGCTAAAGTTTTAAGTATAAAAATATGTAATTGTATAGTTTACCTCAAAGAGTTTCTTTACCAGATTTTTGCTGCCATGCCATACATCATATTGGTGTATCTTTTTGTTACATGTATCAGCAGAGTTGAATTGTCTTCCTATACGTTATGAAAAGACTATGTAATTTCATATGTGTGTGTATATTTTTATATATATATAAAATATAGCAAAATATTTGAACATAGCACAAAATCTCCTAAATTCATATTCCGAATCCTTGGTTGGGACTGCCATTTCTGAGTTTCATGGCCTGCTTCACACTGCTGTAAAATTAAAAGTGATTGATTTCCAAAAAATTATACTGCAAGAATAATAATTGATAATCATACTGTATAGTCATAACTTACCCCTTTTTTTTTTTTTATAACATAGTGGAAGTGGCTTGGCGTAACAGGGATGTTTTGGTTTCCCAATCTTCGGGTCGGGGTTTCAATCCCTCAATCTGATGTAAGAGCGATATATAAAAACCTACATGTTATTGTTATTATTAACATAACATAAAAGTAGAAAAATGTCTTGTACTGTTAATAATTCTTCATAGAGTACATACCCATTTTATTGTAATGGAGGTGGCCAACATTTCTGATTTTGAATATACATCTTTACCACACTGTGGACATTTTGTAACTACATTCATATAGGCCAACTGCAACAGGCAGTTCTCATATGCAAAGCCACAATTCAAGTTGTTGGTTTGTTCTTTAGTTTCTATAGACATTGAGCCTTGTGTAGCACATACTTCTTCATCTTCTTCCTCCTCTTTCTCATCCTCCTCCTGCTCTTCCTGTTCTGTCAAAAGACTGTCTATGTCGATTTGGCTGTTGATACTATACATGTGCGGAATATCAAAACTACACTTTAAACATACAGTATTTCATTATTCTTGGATGTATAGTAGTTAAAAAATAATCAATATTTGTATTCAGTTTTATTTACACTATGCATTATCTACCATATTCTGTTACAAGCAATAATTATTTTGTAAATACAACTTATCAAATTATTTTTTATCTACAGCAATGTTAATGCTAAATAATAGTTCTACTTGATCATTCAATGCATATCATACATAATAACACATACTATAGACAAAAATTTATCTTATATACTAACTCTAACGACATTTCTAACTGATAGTCATCCATATCCTCCTCTTCTATTTCCCAAGTAGGGTCTTTTGCTTTTAAATTGATTTCTCCTGCTGAGTAGTCTATTCCACTTGTACAACTAATATAAATGCAAAGAAAATACAAGAAAATGAAGACAAAGGCACTGCCAGCCAACAAGGGATTTGATCCCCACCATCCCGGTTTGCCGTTGTGGTTTCTTTGACTGTTTGTCTTGTATCTTGTATCTTTTAATATGCCCCTAATGTATATTTCACTACTGTACTTACTAAGCTAGTATAGTATTAGCCTTGTAACCAATATTAGTACTAGAATTTGTATCACTAATTTATTGGACAGTAAATTGTCATGTATCATGAATAATAGGTTCATATTTTAGCCCTGTAAGTAGTACTAAAATTTACATGTATCACTTTTTACTTGAAAAGCAAAATATCTTGTATCTTGGTCCATTAGCCCTGTAAACTAGTAGTAATACTAGAATTTTTAAGTACAGTATCACCTGTTTCTTGGACAGTAAATTATCATGTACCACTTGTTACTTGAAAAGCAAAGTATCTTGGTCCATTAGCCCTGTAACTAGTACTGTAGTACTAAAATGTCCATGTATAACTTGTTTCTTGAGAAGTAAAGTATCTTGTAACATACAAGTAGGTCCCTATTTTCCCTGTAGTAGTACTAGAATTTTCATGTATCACTTGTTACTTGGACAGTAAAGTAAATAGTATCTTGCATTATGTTATAGACCATTATACCTGAAATAAGTAAATAACTCACCTTTTATTAATGATGCACTCTGAAATGGGCTTAATTGAACTGACTCCTGAACAACTGAAATTAGGTGCTGTATCTCCTTTAGGTGATGAAAACATGCGTGATACCATATGATCGTGATGTTTAGACCTTAAATTAAAATGTAGGAAAGGCATAAGTAAATACAATAACAAAACTGATTAATGGTCAACCAGGAGTTAGCCCCTACTACTGTAGTTTATGTATAGCACTGCAGTGCAGTAGGAAAGAGGAGGCATATCCTAGGTCTTTTCTAAAAAGTATGCCTCTAGAGTAGGATGAATAAGAAGAGACCTGTGACATGATAATTAGTTAGGATTGCCCTAGTATAATGTACTAATAATAATACTAGGGCTTAGCATATTATGCCATGGTAGCTTAGCTAGCGTGTTATTATTACTTTAATACTTATAACTATAATATGCACAGCATAGACTGGATCTTAGGCATAGGCCTAGGCTAGCCTGGTTTCTTACCCAAGCCATATTATACCTAGGACCCGACCTTAGTTAGCCTATAATGCCTAACTCTATTGAAAGTCCAGTAAGATTGCGGCAAAAGAGTCGTCGTTCTTCGCTCGTAACGTAGTCTTCAGCTCTTGCCCCTGCCCCTTCTCTTTCTTGAGTTCGTCGAAGACATAATGTAATAAAATGGCTAGCTAATCCACTAATTTTGTTTTACGAGACGCTCGACGTATAAGCTGT